ATGCAGCATATTTGGTGCCATCAGTTTGTTGCACAATAAAGGTTCTCACCTTCCCACACTTGTTCAGTTTTGTCTCTGTCTCCTATACTATATAAACGCATGCACATGTGCACATACACAGAGAGCTTTTGCTGTTTTCCAATACAAAGGAATAAAGTACAAGTGTGTTTGGAGCAGATAAAGTAAAAACTCCTTCTGTCCTCAAATTGGCTGCCTCCGAGATTAAGCAGCAAGAACAGACACTTACTGATTCAAAGGCTGCTGCTATATCAGAAACCCAAGGTACCTAAACAGATTCAGGTTGTAATCCCTACATAAATTATATACCCAAATTATGAAAATATGAGGAGGGTTACATTATTAAAACATGTTATCAAAGACACCTTCTAGAGTACATCATTACTGCTTAGTGCCATCAGATGCCAATACAAAATAGCTTGTCACCTTGGCGTGCTTTCATACTTTCCTCTTATATCTCCCTCTGCCACACTGTCATTGGCAAGGAAAGCTTTAACAATATGAACAGATCTAAATAAAGCAAATGTTAGTCATGCATCAATGTTTAAGATCAAAATGATTGGCCTGGCTACTGGACAGACTATGTCATATGAACAACATCTTGTGCAAGTATGAAACCAATACTGCAGTCTGTCCTGTAGGAAAGTAGACGGGTGAGTAAGAGCTAAAATGCTAAACGGGGAAAGCAAGCTCATCAGAAGCAGAAAGTAATGCTATTGCTATCGTTATAGTGCTCGCACTCATACTTTAAGGACATGTATATGCTCTCAAATACTTTTTTCTTCAAGGGTCGTCTTCCCTGCTTCTTGGTAAGCCTTGAGTCTTCTCTCTGACAAAAAGATGGTGGAAAGAATGGAAGCTTCCCTTTCTCCCCTAGAACCTAAGACATGACCACTGCTGGAATAGTGTGTCCAGGTCTGGTGCCCACTATTCAAGAAGGATGTTGATAGATTGGAGAGGGTTCCGAGAAGAGCTATGAGATTGATTAAAAGGATGAGAAAACATGCCTTATTTTGATAAACCCAAGGAGCTCAATCTATTTAGCTTAACTAAAGAGGAGTTAAGGGGTAACTTGATTACAGCCCATATGTACCTATATGGGGAACAAGTATTTAATAAAAAGCTCTTCAATCTAGCAGCGAAAAATATAACATGATATAACTTCCAATGGCTGGAAGTTGAAGCAAGACAAATTCAGAGTGGAAATAAGGTATACATTTTTAACTGTGAGGGTAATTAACATTTGGAACAATTTACCAAGGGTCTTCATGGGTTTTTAAATCAATGTTGGATGTTTTTTCTAAGAGCTCTGCTCTGGGAATTATTTTGGGGAAGTTCCATGGCCTGTGTTATACAGGAGGTCAGACTAGATGATCACAATGCCTCTTTCTGGCCTTGGAATCTATGAGTACTTTACACACACGTAATGATTTTTAGCCAATGATCTCAAAGCACTTTACAAAGGTGAGTGTTACTATCCCCATTTTACTGTTAGCTCATGCTTTGTCAGACCTGTGTTGTTTTAGATCAGTACCTGTATTGCACACATCTGTGCAAACTGAAATTGAGAAAAGGATTAACCCTGCCCCTGAGACATTTACCTTCTTGTGGACACATTCCAAAGTAATTGAATGGTTACCAGCCTTGGAAAGAAAACACTGAGTGAAAAAGCTTTCCTTGGTTTCTGTGGCACCTGATGATGACGACCAAAAAGACCCAATCTCCCAGGTTCTTTTTGTCTGACTTTTTGCTAACCACTTGAGACTAAATAACTCTTGGATTTAGATGAAGAGAAACCAAATGAAAACAAAGTAGGAGGGATGGGTGGGGAAGGGGAAGCATCACTAAAACCTTTATACTGTATAACTATTATGCTTTTTCCTGGTCCAGGTACACAAATAGCCAGATGACAATATTATCTACCTATGTGAGACTTGGAGCTCTGTGCAATGCCTTTGAACTCTTGTTGCCTGGACTTGCTCACTTGATTTTGCTCTATTCCTAAAGAAGCTGGCTTTGGGAATAAGCCATCAAGCATCTGGGGACCATTCATATCTGAATCACTATTTCCTTGCCACTCATTATAGCCCTTCTTAATCTTCCAGCACAATTTTTTCCTCCTTCCTCTGTTTTTTTAGGAATAAATCTTATATGGTGGGTGTGTATGCAGCCATCACTAACTGTACAGGAATATCCACTACAGCTTCATTCCTTCATTGGGATTCCACCTGAACAGCTCATGTTATTTAAGTCAGATATTGGCCTCACAAGTTGCACGTGCTTTACAGTTCACATCCTGCTGCCGAGAGCAGAGCTCATCCCATTTCCAATTCTGTCTCTATAATCACACTCACTAGAATACAAAGGTAGCTGTGCAACTTTTGCTCACATTGCTGAGCACTTATTCATATGAGTTGTCAATGGAACTACTTGTGTAAATGTACCTTGATCATCACCCATTTCTTCACTGTTGCCAGCTGACAATTTCCCTGCTACTCGATGGCAGGAAATCTAATAGCCTCTGAAGCAGCATCCTTTCCATGCCTTCTGGCCTGACTGCTCCTGTTGCAATGATTATGGAGGCAGCAGTTGTACTGCAATTAGGATCCTCATGGGTCGGCCAATCTGACTGAGCAATGGAGGCCAGCTGCTCCACTGCCAGCAAGATCTTCTTGGCACTCTTCCTTTCCTAGAATCCATCCTCACTTCCAGGCCACTGGCAATATTCAGTTAGGCCTCTGGCCAACAAAACCACCTCATTTCCTCCACAGACCAAAGTCACTTAAACAGCTCTGTAAAAGCACCACCTGTGACTGTGACCCACAGTCTGTGCTTGAGGCCCAAGCTGTGCTGGAAGTAGATCTTCATGTTCTTAGAATCCTCTTTGCTGCCTCTTTTTCACTGAGTGTAACAGATCTTTTAGACCTTCCACTGGGAATGCTAAATCCTTGCAGCACTATCCAGTTCTGGTCTTTCACTAACCTTCATATTCCCCAATCTTATATGTCCATCTAATACAGCCCCCTCCACCTATTGTTCAGTTTTTGTGAAAACCCACATATGCACAGCATTTTCACCCATAGTGGATAAGAGAGAGATAAGGTGGATGAGGTAATATTTTTTATTGGACCAACTTATTGGTGAGAGAGAGAAGCTTGTGAGCAACACAGAGCTCTTCTTCACGTCTGGGACAGGAACTCCCAGCCTCACAGCAAAGTCCAGGGTGAAACAGATTGTTTAGCATAAGTAGTTAGCCCATATTATAAGGGACCATTCAAGGAAGAGTGGCTACAACTACACTGCATATAGTGGATAAAGGCATTTTACTTAGACAAAGAAGAGAGGAGTGAGCTCCCCTATGTTGTTATACTTCATCCTCTTCCCTCACTGGTGATGATTCAGTGGATTACAGCTATTTTGGCTCTCTTCTGGTTATGACTTCAGAAATTTCATGAAAAACTATTGTTTAAAGTTTCATCTTTCTAACTTTTCAGAATTAACATTTTGTCATATGCTTGTTTCACTTTTATGTTTAATTAAAGAGGGAGAAACATAACATAAGAATGGCCATACTGGTTCAGAACAATGGTCCATCTAGCCCAGTATCCTGTCTTCTGACACTGGCTAGTGCCAGATTCTTCAGAGGGAGTGAACAGAACAAGGCAATTTATTGACTTACCCATCCCATGTCATCCAGTCCCAGCTTCTAGCAGTCAGAAGTATAGGGATATCCAGAGCATAGGAGATCGGCTCCTTGCTCTTCTTACAGACCCAATGGCTCATGCGGACAGGTCTCCGATCCCTCTTCCAAACTTTGTGAAGAAAGGGAGAGGTATGATCCCTCTGCAGTAGGCTCAGGGTCAGATTGCCTGGCTAGTTTGTACCATTTCTGGTGATGCAAAGCAGCTGAGAACACAGATTAAGTGGCCACTAAAAACAAGTTTATGGCTAAATTGCATCACTAGAGCGGCACATAATAACTAGAGTGTAATGGTGAACCTGGCCTGTGATGTTTCAGCCCACTATGCAGATGACTAGCCAAATGTTGGACTCTTCATATGTCCTTAATGAGCAAAGACAACAAACAGTGCCTCTCAGAAGTGAGAGACAAGAACTTTAATACCCTTGAAATATTCTTCACCATCAGGAATGCTAACAGCTAATTTCAAACTGTTGTAATCATCCTCCTGGATTACCTGGAGAATCATCATGCACTCAGATGTAGAAAAAAAAATAGCTGAAGGGTATGCTGCTCTTTGGCAGATCCATGGGTTAACGTGGGCCACTCAGTCTTTCTACCAGCATGGAATTTTGTGGTTCCAATCTTTCATTTCTTGGTACACACTAGAAAGTCAAAACTCTCTCTGGAGTATATTACAACATACTTCAGTTCCACATTTAACCAACCCTCCCCACGAATGTTAGAGCTCTCTTCACAGTAATCATTTTATGTTTTACTTAGCATTACTGTATTAATGTGAAGAAATTTGAGAGTTAAGGATTTACATGAGATCGAGTCAGTGTCTCTTTGGAACAGCTCTGGGTCTTGTATCTTGGGCAACATTACCTGGCTTGTTTGCAGCTTCTCCTTCCCAGAGCAGAGATGTACAGAGTTGGGATTTTAACATGACTATCAGCATTTGGTTGGCATGAAATACCTTCTGCCCCACCCTCGTCACTTACCAGGTGAACACATTAGTGATGGAGTCCAGTTTCTTCACCAACAAACCAGGAGGTCACTTCCCACAAAAATTCCCCAGCTCCCAAAGAACATGGCTAGCACTTGTTGACCGATTCCAGTTGCTTTAAAGGGACAATGTTCCTATCTCTTGCTGTTCCACATTCATCATCTACTCAGTGGAGCTACAGCTACAATAAAGGTTTATGTCTTTCCAAAAGACAGCTCCAAGGATGTGTCCCTTTGCCCCACAAAAGACAATAGTAATATCTCTCTTTTTTATTTTTATTTTTATTTTGGTTAATAGAACACAGTTTTCTCACTAAAACCACCAAAAAGAGCATTTACTTTCTTGCTTGAGGTGGATGCACAGATGAGTAGATGATAAAAAAGAAGTAAAACAGGTGAATAATTCCATGTAGTTGCCCTCCCTCTAGTGACTAAAATAAAGATTACAATTCACTACTTATATATTTGTATAAGCCACAGCAGATACAAGGGAAATCCTTTGCAATAAATGTTCTGCATCTCAAGTTACACTAGAGCAGAGGGGCCGAATTTTCAGACTAACCCTCCAAATTGTGCACAGAAAACAGGGGGCTTCTGCACACGAAAACTGGGGACTTAGATGTGCAGTTATCTGATTAGCACTTGCAACAAAATTCCTTTCCAGGGTTTCAGAGACAGCATTTGAAATTTTGATCCAAGAAATAAGGACACATCTTATTATACAGACAAGGACAAAACAGAGTGATAAATGTGAATTGCCATCAGCCTTTTCATTCCTTTTTGTCTGTGTTTAATGATCATGGAACTTATAAAAGAGCATGTGTCTTTGCAACACAGCTTGGCAAGGCTTTTCAAATATTTACAAAATCTATTTTGTATGCCATGCTAATAATAGTCCAATAGGTCCCCAGATAGAGCAGTAGAGACTGAGGCGCTCTTGTTCTGGCTGTTATTTAGCAGCCCTCCTTCATAATGCTGAAAGACTTCTTAGTTCTTGTTAAAAGGGTAAGAGACAGGGAAACAGATTGCCGAGGTTTTCAGATGATGTTATTTTAAGAACTATTTGGTTCAATGAGGAAACTGAGCAGTTTGAGAAACCAAAAGTGTGTCATGACCCGTATTCTATTTCTTAGACACTCACTTTTGTTTAAATGATTAATTAAAAACAAGAACACATATTTAAAAATCAAATTGTCCAGCTGGAAACCTCTCCCATGCTTGTCTTTTGTAGGAAAATTATTGCTGTTTTGACCGAATCATGTTTCAGGTCCAGAAAGGCATGAACCAAAACTCCAGATTCAAACAAACATTCAAACTCTGAGGGAACTTGGATTTGCTCTTCACATCTAATGACTATCTATACTGATCCACACCCACAAGTCAATCCCAAACTACACTGAACTCATATTCATTGTAGCTAGTTGGGGTAGGAGGGAAGCAAAGGTGGCTCTAAGCAACCTTTAGGCCTCCCCTTAATCTGGGCTGACTGAGGGAGCCAAACAGACCCTGTCACAAGTAACCACAGAGCTGCTCTACCCTACTCTGGCCAGAATAGACTCCTCGGGAGGACCATTATGCCAGCCAGGGATCAGCAGAACACATTGTGTTCTAGTCCCATCCCTCTGATCCCTGTCACACATCTGTCCTCAGGTGGCACCAAGAGACCCACTATGCTGAAAGTAGGGAGTGTAAAGCTGCTACGACACCTTTATACTTTGCCCACCCTGCCATAAAGTCATTTTGCACTGTCTATCCCTATAATAGGCCAGATCCAGCCCCAGAGCTCCAGTAGCACTTATGATCATCATCCAGAAAACATGTCTGAAGCCCATCTTTAACTTCGTATGGGTCTTGTAAATCTACTGAGGTACATAATCTAGAAATCCCAGATTTCTTCTCTCTCACTGATTTGACACCACAGTGATTTTCAGCCTAGTTACTCCTGAATTACAACAGTGCAAGTGAGGAGAATCAGCCCTACTGTAACTTTGTTACTATTTAATCACTTAAATATTTTAGCCAAATTCTGATGATCACAGGATTTGCACCCATGTAAATGAGATCTGAATCTGGCCCTGTATATTCTTTACTTTAAGCATGTGCCTAAGTCCCATTGACTTCAGCTGGACTAAAACATGTGCTAAAGTGCTGCCCTAAATATGGATATTTTCCTGAATTAGAGCCAGAATGCTCATTTCTTAAACTATATGCAAGGATAAGTAATTCTCATAAAAATGTGGCAGGCCCAGGCATTGTCACAGCCTATGAAAAATCTTGGCTGCAGTGTGTTAGTGAACAGGTAAAAGAGTGTTCACTGGTAGGAGAAAATGTTTCCTCTGATGTGACTATGTGTTCTTTGGTGGGGGAAAAAGTCACTGCACATGTGTTGGTGCCAGAAAAAATTAACAACAATGCTCAGCGGTGGTGAGTCAGCTCCTGTGGGTTATGTCTGTGACTCTAGGAAATTTGGACTGAAGCCAGACTCAGAGGAGTCATGCATCTCTCCAGTTTTCAAGAACGCCATAGCAGTCATTCCAAGGGCACACATATACTTTGCATGAAGGCAGTCCACACAGAATAATAGGAACACTGACTAGTTGGAAGGAGATTCCATGCGCTCACCATTCTTCGCTTTTATACCTCAGCATTCTGCATTGTCTTTGGTTCCCAGGCTTTGAACTGGCATTATAGCGAGCCATGAAAATGAAACCAAAATAAATGACTTACAACTCAAATATATCATGGGCCTCCACCCTGCCCTGTATTTCAGACTCGACCCTAAAATCTTTACCTATTATATTTACAAATTAATTTTTAACTCAAAGAGCAACAAGATGTATACATAACACTGAGCTCATGTCATGACATTCACAGTCATTGCCCTTACTCTCTCAGGCCCTTGCTCCCTCCATTTTGTTTGCTGTCATCACTAATTGTGTTCTATCCAGCCTACTTTGTAAATCCTTTTATTTGCCTGTAAATTGACATCCGCACCTATCATTTGTATAAGAAATAATGCATGCAGAGACATTTGTACCCCATATACTCCCTATAGCAATGTGAGCATGTGCAGAAGTAGACACACTAGCAAAATGAAAAGAAGATCCCAGACCTTTCCAAAACAAGTTTGAAAACCTTCTTTAAAAGCAAAGTAACTGTCAAACTTGGGGGGTGCTAATCAGACCAGTAAGGGGTTGTTCCACCACTTGCCCTGCAACCCTGGGTTCCTTATAACACTTTACGGCTGTAGCTAACAGCCTGGGATGCTCACGGCCAGTCTACAAGCATGCAAATCACACCCTGAGGGTCTGTGTGCTAGACAGCCGTCGTGCAACAGCTCTGACCCCAGTAGCCTGTCTACAGCCCCACTCTGCCTTCCAGCAGTTATAACCAGCAGGGTGATTCCAACACACTCCCAGTCCTGAATTTCCCCAAAACCATGTGCCCTGAAGTGTCCAGTCCTCCCCTGGACCACTCAGAGAAATAATGTTTGTTGCTACTTTAAAGAGTCAAAAGCACATTGCCCCAGTTAAGTTAATAAGCTGTAAATACACTGTTTCCTTCAAACACAGCACTGAGCTGGTTTATAGTAAAAACAAAAAACAAATGTATTAACAATAGGAGATAAGTGATGCCAAGGAAGAAGAATAAAGTTAGAAAGGGTTACAAGCAAATAAAAGTAAAAAGTGCATTTCTAAAACTTAATCAAGCAAAATACAGGCTTTGATCAAGATGGCTTCTTACCACTTTTCTTTCCAGCTGTGCCTGACTCTCTCTGTCAGGACCTTCCATAGAAGAACAAGGGCCTGGTTTCCCTTGTCTTCCTAGGTGAAAGATCTCTGCCTGAGCAAGTTTCTTACCTATATTCTGTTTCAAAAGACCTCAACCCCCCTGGGTTGAAGGATCCATCTTTCTCAGCTTGCAAGAGTCCTGTTCCCTTGTATCTAACTAGAGATGGTTGCCAAAGATGGCTTCTGTTCTTGCTTATATCTTCCAAAGTTCAATGATCTTGTTTCAAGAGGCAGGATGACCTCATGCTGTTTTTCTTCCTGTGGACTTCCCACCCTCCTGTATTGGAATGCAAGAGAGGCTTCCATTGGTTTTTTTTAATCACACCTTGCTCAATTTCATTGCAGACAGGTAGATAGCTGCGGCGTTCCCTCCTACCTGCCAGAGACCTGTTTGTCCCTTTATTTGGTCACAGACTGTAAAGCATAATATCAATGAGTATCCATAATTTCTTATGTGGTGTTAATATGTACAATTAATCACCAGTGTGTCATAGGCATTCATAAAAATCTTCACTCTATAGACTTTTATAATACAGTAATATTCTATACAGTCAGTTGGTTCAATTGCTTAACAGATGAGGTTCAGCCCCTCCCTTTGTCTTTATAGACCAGTAAACCTTTGCAAGGTTTTCTTTGAAAAGTAAAACCAAGACCAAGCTTCTCTCTCCTGGTAGGTGTAGATGCCATGCTGTCTCCTCCCCAACTTGTTAGCTTGATAGCTTTGTTTATCTAATATGAAAATAGACCTTCTGCCTGACAACCCGGCTGGTCAGAGAAGGAAATATGCATTCTCTTGTCTAGAGCAGACCTGTTTACCAACTCATCCTGACATGCCTGGCTTAAACACATTTTAATCATCACTTCAGCATATATCATAACTCAATGCACACTGCAAACATACAGTACACAAGAATATTAATGATCAGTGAGCTATTCATTTTCCAATGGCATATTACATGACACCTTTTAGATACAGATTATAACCAGAGTGAGTTGCATTATACTGAATTTGACAGTCCAGCTGAAACTCATTACCTTATACCAATGAGCCCCTTGCCCTCTGGCTCTGGAATGCTCTTAGGGTCATGGTAACGCGAGACATTAACACAAAAGAGACAAATGAAAGTTTGCCAAAGTAAAGGGAAAGGAATTTAACTGCACCAAAGAGTTTCAGAGATGTCTTCATTTTGTCTACCTTGAGACTTAATTTGAAGAACAGAAAACAAATGTATGATGAGCATATGCACATAAGAATGTGTCAAGGACAAGTGTGAGATTGTGGGAAGGTAGGCACTTGTGTACAGCCATATTCTGAAACCTGTTTAGTACATCTGTATGATTGTGTACTCATGTAACTGAAGACTGTATCTGCATATGCACAATGTGCTTGAATTAAGGTTGCAGAGGCAGATCTGCCTCTCTCGCCCCTTCTCTCTCCACTGGCTCCCAGTCCCAATCTCCTTGCCTGGCTAGTTCCATTTCCCTCTTCCCCAATTCCAGTCTTCCTCTCACTTACTTCTCCCAATCTACCCCACCAACTCCAGGTCTGGCTCTTGACTCCTCCACACTACCTGGACATCAAAGGGGCAGGAGCAGGGGGTGGCATCGAGAGCACAGAAGAGAATGTCTCTACTTTCAGTTCCAGTGCCTAGACATGGATCAAAGCAGCTCAAAGCAATCAGAAATTATACTTGTAGGGAAAGTCTGGAGCATGCTCAGTGTGGATGAAATCTTCAGGGAATTTAGCTGCATAGCCCTAGTAACTCTCTAATGAGCATGTGCAAACTGATTTTTCAAACGTTTATAACTTGGCTAAATTTAGGTAGATTGTCAGAGAGACAACAGGAGGCACATTTCTGATGAAAAATCTACCGCCTGGCCAAATGTCAAGTCCCTACTCCAAATTATGGGAGTGCTAGAGCTTCTCAAAGAAAAGGTCATTTAACATGGACACAACAGGATATTTTTCTCTACCCTTGTTCTTGAATCATTTTGGCTGAAATTTTCCAAAACGGAAAAAAGTTCAGCATAAGGCAGACAACCCACATGTGAAATTTAACCCCAAATATATGAAGTATGGCAGGATACAAGCAACTGAACACAGGGGTTTATAATGGGAAGTGTCAGGCAACCTTAATAATAGGTGGTGCTACCAGCTCCACCTATAAGTCTGAGGGATCATCTATGGCTGTGGGGAAGTGGCTTACCTTTCAACATTTGATGCTGATGTGCTTCAGTTTTCCTCTGGCTGGTTGGGCAGACTTCAGTCAATGTGGTATATTGGCCCTCTGGTAAAAAAAAAGAAAAGGACTCCTCTTCAAAACAAGAATTGAACAAAACATTAATTGAAATGCAACAAGTCCCTCTACAGATAGTTCAATAGTCCTATGGCCCTCTGATTTACCAGTTATTTTCTCCTTTGTGCAGTTTTCCTTATGATCTCCCTAGATGGTATCATAAGAGGGGCCTGTGTCCTCCTAGTATGCATACCAGCCCAAGTATGCATAAAACATAGTCAGTGGTCAGTCACAAGCCCATACTGCCCTGCTTCACCATTTCCCAGGCTACTTCTTATTTGAGGTTTGCTTTATCAGCCTTTATAGACAGCTCTACCCAGGTTCCTTTGCTGTTCCTGCTCAGCCAGGGAATCACCATTAGTCTCACTCTGCAGCCCTTGATCCTAGAGGGCTTTCCCAGTTAGCTGCCATTGACTCTGGACCTCTCTGCTGTTGGGTTTCTAGGCCAAGCCTCTGTCCAGGTTTCCTTCCTCCTCACTGGGCTACTACAGAGAGATTAGAATGTGTTGGGTGGGGGTTTCTCTCTTGACTGAGTTGGAGGTAACCTTAAATAGACTAACAGTTGCATGACCCTCTGCTTCCAGTTCTCCAGTTTAAGAGAAACCACAGGTACAAGTCAAAGCTGGGACATGAACTCCATAAAGGCCCAGCTCTCTCTGTGACAATGAGTGTGTTTAAGATTGTGAGTATACAGACATGCAGGAGGGGTAGCCTGTAGGTGTATGGGGACTGAAAAACATGCAAATGTGCCCATGTGTTTCTATATATTTATTTCACTTTTCTTTAGGTTCTTTAGGTTCCTTAACAGAATTATCTGATCCCAGCAATATTTAGTAAACTGTGCAACATCACTGGGTACCAGATACAGTTATTTTCTACACATGTGATTTGTCCTTCAGAATACTTCAAAGCCTTGTCATAAATCTCTTTGATTTACAGTACCTGCTGCTAGCTGGAGCACACAGATGGGGGGTCAGTACTACAGACTGACAATAAGCAGCCAGTAACACTGAGGGGGGATGTGTCACCTCTGTAGAGGTTAAAAATAGGACAAAATATCAGATAATAGAATAAACTACTGAACAGGCTATTTAAACCTTCTAATTTGAATATTCAGACCTAATTTGATATTTTACTTCAGGCCAATTAGACACCCGCAAAATTATATAAAACCGGGTTGCTGTCACTGAATATGTTGGTTTTGTATTTTTTTCTACTGGTACAGTTAGTCACTTGTTATTTGATTGTCAATTTAGTAGTAGGTTTTGGCAAAAAATAAATTCTCTAATGGAAAAATTCATTGAAATACCACTGAAAGATCATTTTTCACTGGTCATTTTAAAGTAACCAACATTGCACAAACTGGTTATCTTCTCCCTTATTATATTATTATCTCCCTTATTACCTACCCTTATTCAGCACTGGTTATCTTCTCAGTGCTGAAACCACAGTTGCATACTCAGCTTAACGTAATGTGGAATGAGAAGTGTTTCTGAATGCTGTGTTGTGAAAACATGAACACAGTTTTACTCAATATAAAATTTCAGATCATTTAAGTAGGAAAAATCTAAAGATTGACAAATTAATTGTGGGAATAAGTCAAGTTTAGCCTTGAAATAAGGACCTAGGATCCTAGATAAGGAACTGGGCATAAGTAACCAAATTAAGCCTCAGCCCCAGCTAGGCTCTAATCCAATGTGTTTTAGCTCATGGGGTGACTTGGGATGTGTTGTGTACCCATCTGTCTTGACTGGCTAACAGCTAGAGCACATGGGAAATGCTAATGTACAGATGAAAAACTCCATGAAAATTTTTAAAATGTAGTGCAAAAAACTTGAAAGGGTGCTTAACTGAGATTTTTTCCCCCTTTCTCTCTTCTTCCCCCACCTCCACTTCCCCAATTCCAATGTAATCTGGAACTTTAAACTGTGATTCTCTACTCAACATAGTTAAAAATCAAAATATAAAAATATGAGGCAATTGATAATGTGGTGCAGCCACCAACCCACCAAAGCAAGAACAACTCCTCCCCAACCTACAGTCTCATAATCCTTCCCTTGTTTCTTCCCACAGCCTAAATCTTCTGATGCTGCAAAGGATTGTAGGATGCAAAGGGGTCACAGGACGGTTTTTTGGCTATTTTATGCATTGAGGCCACAAATGCTGAGAACTGCAGTCAAAACAGGCTGAACCACAGTTCATTAAAATGCTTCAGTTTCAATCCATTCAAATATTGTTTGGATTTTAATAACTTTTACTTAACATCTAGTAATCAATTCTGTTTTCACATATTTCCCATCAGAAGAGATTAAGACTGTTTCTAATCATATATCATTTGTGTGGCCCAAAATGTGATTGCATATTTATCTTCCTACAAAAAATTCAATCCTGTTGCTAAGAAGTAAGGTCATTTCAGTCCAGTTCCCAGTGCACAATTAACCACACAATAAAACTAGGACTAGAGTTGGCACCAGTTAGCACCCAGGATGGCAGTCAGGAGAAGCCAAGGACTGCATGGGATAGAATCGAGACTAACTTTTTATTTTTCTCATGGCTAAACATGATGCCCTTCAGCACATACTAGCAGGGCAGTGTGTGTAAGCTTGTGCCACTGTCTGGACTATACCTGTGGGGTAATATAATATTTAAATATTCAGGACCACATATCCAGCATCTTTCACCAGCACTGAATTCATACACACACGTTTAAGAAAAACAAAGTCGCTATATTTTCCAATGGTCTTTTATAATTGCCTCTAGAGTGCATCCACTTTTCGCCACTGGAAGATGTGTTTAAACCCAGCAGCTGAGATTCTGTTGTTGTTGTTGTTGTTAATTATTTGCATTATATTAGTATCCAGAGGCCCCAATCCAAGTCAAGATCTGTCCTTTGCCTTCCCTTACCCATCCCCTGACATAGGCATTGTACACACAGAGTAAAAGGACAGTCCCTTTACCAAAGAATTTACAATCTAAGAAAATTAAGTAGTCTACTGTTGGCACCAAGGTGATGTTCCATTAGACTTTTGAAACTGACCTTTGCAAGGACTGGATGGGAAACTCAAGGGGTCAAATTCTGCCCTGCGGTAAACCAAGCCCAACTCCCATTGACTTCACTTCAAATTGTACTTGCTCACTCCAGGGTGGAATTTGGTGCTCTGTATGTGAGAATAACCAGAGAACTGGAAGGGACCTCAAGAGGTCATCTAGTCCAGTCCCCTGCACTCATGGCAGGACTAAGTATTATATTATCTAGACCATCCCTGACAGGTGTTTGTCAAACCTGATATTAAAAATCTCCAATGATGTAGATTCCACAACCTCCCTGAGCAATTTATTCCAGTGCTTAACCACCCTGACGGTTAGGAAGTTTTTCCTAATATCCAACCTAAATCTCCCTTGCTGCAATTTAAACCCATTGCTTCTTGTCCTCATCCTCAGAGGTTATGAACAATTCTTCTCCCTCCTCCTTGTAACGTTTTATGTACTTAAAAACTGTTATGTCCCTTCTCTTCTCCAGACTAAACAAACCCAATGGGTTTCAATGAACCTTTTAATTGTAACCTAAGAGTATCTTTATGAATAAAATGCCCATAGTTGTCACGTACACCAGTATTTCTTATCCATGTAACTTCCAGGGTGGTCTGATGTGCTGTGGAGAGGTTGGGGGAAATCCATCATTTTAGTAATGAAGGAAGACAAGCTTTTGCCAGTCAAAAGCTGGAACCAGCTGTGTTTGGCCTGTGGCAAACCAAGTGCTGGCTGAGGGCTTGTCTATGCTTGAAACACTACAGTGGTGCAGTGGTGCAATTGTACCACTGTAGCGCTTCAGTGTAGACACTACCTACACTGACAGGAGGGGTTCCCCCATCAGTGTAAGTAATCTACCTCCCCAGAAGGCAGTAGCTTCTTCCATTGACCCAGCTCTGTCTACCCATGGGCTAGGTCTGCTTAACTGTTCAGGGTTGTAGATTTTTCACACCACTGAGCGACATAACTGGGTCAACCCTCAAGGGCTCATTGTGAATCTCCAGTTGTAGGGGCAAGCTGGCAGCTGTTCCAGGTTTAGCTCTTCTCACTCTCTCTGGTCAAGCAGGGGCCTGAATAGATCATCAGAATTCAGGCATCACCAGAGAGGAGAGTGTCAGAAGACAGAAAAACTCAGAATAAAGGCATGTCTATGGAACAGTGGCACAGCTATGCCATAGTGCAAATGCTTCCTATATCAATGGGAGAGGTTTTTCCATCAATGTAGTTAATCCACCTCTCCAAGAGATGGTAGGTTGGTCAATGGAAGAGTTCTTCTGTCAACTGAGCCACGTCTACACCCAGGATTAGGTTGACCTAACTACAGCGCTCATGGTACAACATTTTTCACAGCCTTGAGCAACATAGCTAAGTCGACTTAAAATTTAGGTGTAGACTGGGCCTTAGAGAGAGGGAAATGAAAGGACAGTGGACACGGGAGTTCAAGACATCACTGGGAGCTTGAAGAAGCAGGAATCTCAGAGAGAGAGAGAGAGACAGAATGTGTCCACTGGATTGCAATCCATTACCAAAATGGAACACTAAAGACTAATAGTTTGTCAAAAATAAACACTCTGTAGGTAAATAAATAATAATAATTTCTCACTCTCCCATCATTCCTACCATTTTCTGCTTTTTCCCTACACACTGATATATATATTTTTAAATCTTCTAAAAATTAAAGCAGACCTTAGGTCTAGCAGTACATACCACGGGCCAGATAGCTTGGGGCTAGTATCTCATACTGAGAGATGGATGGAAGCTTTTTAAACTAGACCTACAGCTCTGCTAAGCATGGGACTTGCGAGCTTTGTGACTTCTATTAACAGGTTTCCTGCCCTGAAAGGCCTACATTGTGCACTCCCAGAAGGCTGTGGCTAATGAAAAGCTCCAGAATGAACCCAAGAAGAAGAGGCGGGGGAAAGACCATCCTAAATAACTTCTGCAGAGTGACTCATCCTTTC